TCAGACTGAAGATAGATAGATGAGACACTTTGCTAAATGTTTCTTATTAAAACCCCTTTGCTCAAAAAGCTTGGCTTAACGCTTGAAGCTGAATATTTTTTCTCTACAAGCGCTTGATTCAATGCCGTTTAAAAAGCATCAGAAAGTTGTTCCTCGTGAAGTTGGCTATTGTGTTGTACATTATATTTATAACATTATCTTTACAAAGTGCAGACTTGAAATGTATTATTAATTATAATAATAATAAATTAATATTATTATTTAGATATCATTTGAATCATATTATTATTAGAATGTATTATAATTACTTTTCGTGGCTTTTATTTTGACAGGATTGTGACAATAAGCGCGTGACTGACCAGACGACTCAATTTAGAGTCACGTGATCAGTGTTCTCTAAAATAAGGATGTGAGACAGAAGCGACGATACAGACCTCAGACAGCTGCAGGACATTAGTGTTTGTGCGAGCCCGTGCTGACATGCTCTGTCAGGAAGTGAAGTAGGCGCGCGACGACCGGCGAAGACCGCAGCGACCACAGCAGGTCTGGCCAGTGCCTTACAAGTAAGTTCAGCTGCAGCCCGATGTGTTCACGCTCACTGTGTCAGCGGGGAATGCACGTGTTTACTTTTTTGCACTATGGCTTATTGGCTTAATGTTTTCAGTTAATACCAATATGAATACTAATATGAAAATAATCACTACCAGTCAAAAGTTTCTGAACGGTAAGATTGTTAATGTTTTTAAAGAAGTCTCTTCTGCTCACCAAGCCTTCCTTTATTTGATCCAACGTTCAGCAAGAGCAGTAATATTGTGAAATATTTTTACCTTTTAAAATGACTGCTTTCTATTTAAATATATATTAAAATGTCATTTATTTCTGCGATCAAAGCTGTATTTTCAGCATCATTTCTCCAGTGTCACGTGATCCTTCAGAAATCATGCTAACATGCTGATTAGATGCTCAACAAGCATTTATCATTATCATTGATATTTAAAAAAGTTGAGCACATTTGTTTTTCAGGATTCTTTGATGAACAGAAAGATCCAAAGATCAGCGTTTACCTGAAATAAAAAGCTTTTGTAACATTATACACTATTCCATTCACAAGCCTGGAGTCGGTATATTTGTTTTATTTCTTTTTTTGGAGTTAAGAAATGATAGAAATGAATACTGTTATTTAGCAAGGATGCTTTAAATTGATCAGAAGTGATGATAAAGTCATTTATAATGTTACAAAAGATTTCCATTTCAGATAAACGCTGTTCTTCTGATCAATTTAAAGCATCCTGAAAAAGTTCTATCCAACTGTTTTCAACATCATCATAATAATAATAATAAAATGTTTTTTGAGAATTAAAATCAGCATA